GATCATGGACTTCGTAGCCTCTAAAACTATGAGAAAATAAATTCTTGTTGTTTAGGCCACCCAGTGTGTGTTATTTTTTTTTTTTTTTTTGGCAGCTACTAGAATTCTAGTACCAAATTCCAATGTGTGTGTGGTGTGAGTGTATGTGTGTGTGTGTGGGGGGGGGGGCAGGCTTCCCACACCACCAAGCAATTCTCCAACACTAGCTATTTGTCCTATTATTCAAATCAATTCTGAAACTGTCTACCTGGAGAGAGCATCAGATTCCACAGGTTAAGGGCTAGTCCTCAAAGACTGCCCCATCCCCTTCCGACACCAGGTATAACTCTGGTTGTCACTGACTGACCAGCTACAGACAGAGGTTTCAACAACCTCCTTCTTGGGTTCAATTAATCTGTTAGAGCTGCTCCCAGAACTCAGGGAACCTGTTCACTCATTAGATTACTATCTTATATAATAAAGAGGTAACATGCAAATTGACTGTCTCATCCTTGCACAAGATGGCCACCCCCATGTGGTCACAAGATGGCCATGCCCATGTCATCACAGATGGCTGCCATAAGATGGCCAGCAGGGGAGGGCAGTTGGGGGTGAACAGGCCAGCAGGGGAGGGCAGTTGAGGGTGACTGAGCTGGCAGGGAAGGGCAGTTGGGTGTGATCGGGCCACCAGGGGAGGGCAGCTGGGGGCGATCGGGCTGGCAGGGGAGTGGTTAGGAGGCGATCAGGCTGGCAGGCAGAAGCAGTTAGGGGCAATCAGGCAGGCAGGCAGGCGAGCGGTTGGGAGCCAGCAGGCCTGGATTGTGAGAGAAACGTCTGACTGCCTGGTGGGATCGGGCCTAAACGGGCAGTCGGACATCCCCCGAGGGGTCCCAGATTGGAGAGGGTGCAGGCTGGGCTGAGGGACATTCCCACCCCCCCACCCCCGTGCACGAATTTCATGCATCGGGCCTCTAGTCTTATTATAAAAGAATATAATAAAGAGGTAATGTAATAAAGAGGCAGCCTGTCAGGTCAGCTGCCCTATAGCATCTGCTGGCACCAAAGGCTGATGGCGGAATGAGGGGACTGTGGCACCCACAGGACTCTGTGGGAATTAAAACTCTGTGGTGGATCTGTGGGGACAAGGCTATAGTGAAGTGACCGTCAGACTGCTATCCAACTTGCTTATTTATCTAGAGGGTGATGCTCTGATGTAGAGAGTCTGGTACTAGGCCTAGGTCCACAGCGGGACAGACAGAATTTCAGAGCCAACCTGTCGCAAGGCTAGAGTGGCAGACACAGGCATTAGGAGTGTGGTGATTTCGTGACTTCCACATTGCATGGATGATCTGAACCAAGGGGTAAGTGGTAGAAATAAAATATGAGGCCCATTAGACCCCGCTGCCCCTCAGGCTTAACGAGGTTTCACAGTCAGAGTGGTGATGGGAGGTTGGATCTGCTAGGCTTGTATTGAGCATTATCCACCCCTTAGTGAGTGCCTCTCACACCCTCGGCACCAAATGGAAAACAACAAAAAGAGGTCACGTCTGGTGAACAAAAGAAAGGGCAGGACTAAAGCGATCATCAAAAGCCTGGAACCTCCAACCAGCTGTTTTCATCCACATAACCAATGACCTCAAGGCAGAAAAACAAAGACAACTGAAAGCATGGTGCTCCCCACAGCCGGGGTGCTGGAGGAGAGCTGCGACAACCATGTTACCTGTTAGTGACATAGTCAACAAGATGCTGCTTGAACATGAGGCTCCACCTCTTAATTATGTTCAGCAGAGACGCTTTGAAGGGCCGCACGTCGATCTTCATCCAGCTGTCAAACACCTTGACGGGCTCCAGCCTGCACACCTCTCCATAGAGCTGCTCGTAGGAGTCGATCTGGGCTTGGAACTGATGCAGGAGGGGTGGGTTCTCCGGGATGCCGTCTTCTTCGTGGGCCTCGATCTCCTCGGGTGTGGGGATGTGCCCATACAGCAGAAACTGACCCAGGATCTCCCTCCGGTCCTCCACGTACAGGTAGGAATACTGGCTGAAGGTGTCTCGGTAGCTGCAGCACAGGGCCATCATGCTCCGCGCTCTCTCCATGAGCACGCTCCGCATCCTCGCCAAGTCGGCCAGGCCCTCCATGTCAGCCTGGGGAGAGACCACAGCAGGCGTCACACCAGCGCTTGCAGGAGGCCCCGGAGCTGGCTGGAAGGCAGGGTGGGCGCAGATCCTGTACCTGATAGTGGGGAGAGCTGTTCTGTGGGGAAAGCCGTGGCACCAAAGACGATATTCTAAAAATGCTGGTGACAAGCCCCTCAACCATGTCATAGAAGCCACCCTTCACTCCAGACTCCAGGGATGGGGAGAAAACCAGTTCTGGGACTGCCAAGCACAGCTGTACTTCAAATATTGGGTTGAGTCCTGCCTTACATTCTGAAAAACAAGGGGCAAACCCATGTTAAAAACCGAGCACTTCTTTCGTTTAGATGAGCTGTTGGGGTACAGAAGATGGAAATGTAAAATTTGCTGACACGCAGGAAGGGGAGGGTGACAGTCTAACTGTGCGCCAGCAGGGGGGCCGGTGGCATTTTGAACAGGCCGATTCTGTGCTGCTGTCCTGGGCTTGGCAAAACATTTGCTCTCCTTGTCCTCAGACAGCACATCCCAGAGACTGAGCAATGCAAGCCAGTCCCCTGCCACATTCGCAGATGCCTCCGGGGAGCAAGAGAGCCCCTGGGTGAGCAGAGGTTGATTTTGCAAAGCCATTTTTTTTGGAAGCGTCTGATTTCTTCTTGGCGCAAACCAGACAATACCATTGGCAGCCCCTAGGGCTAGGGGAGCGGGGTATGCTTGTCCAGGCTTGTCCAGGCATGAAAAGCAGAGTCGTTACAATTCTGCCTGCTCGGCTTTCTGTCTATAAAAACAGAACTTATCTTAATTCTGTAGTCTTAGAGTGATACATTTTTTAAAACAGTATAAGTAATTTAAAAATCCCTGAGTACTTGCTAGACAACTTGCCTTGCTCAATTTAAGTCAAAGTACAACATGAGTAAGATGTTCCAAATGCAAGATAAAAGCTTAAACTTTGATCAATAACCACTTATATGCATATCTCTTTTTGATTGTAGAAATATTTAGGAGACTGTTATGTGGTAGATACTGTGGGCAGCAAAGACAACTCAGTGAAATTTATTATCTCCTTCTTTCCCAGAAATGGAGGTGTAACTGCATGTGGCATTTCCCAGCTCACAGTTAGGGGTGGCAACGCGGTTTGTCACCAGTGGAATGTGGGAGGAAGTGGTGGGTGTCTACTTCTGGGCCAGGGCCTTCGAGACAGCAGGGAGCCTCCTCTGCTCCTCCCACCGGCTAGAGCCTGGGTGTGGCGGTGAGCCAGCTGACACAGCAGTGAGTGATGGAACCGCAGGAGGGATGGAACTTGCCCACCAACCTGGGGTACTCACTTTGGACCAATACTTAGGATGGAGTTTTCTTATCATAGCTGAGCCATTCTCACTAACTAAAAAGGTATGGGGTCCTCAAAGATATGTGAAACTAGGGTCTTGCCCTCAAAACTTCAGGAATGATAAATTTGCATTATTGGACTTAGGAGGACCCCATAAAATGCATATTTAACGTAAGGGAATGCAAGTTTACCAATATCATAGTAATTATGCTAATATCATAGAAAAGTTTTTTTTAAGCCTTTGAGATTATGCTTTGTGCATGTAGTCATGATGTATTCTGCATCCCTACATGCATTAGATACCTGTAATTTAGTAGGCCAGGTTGCATATATAGAGTGTTCCCCCCAAAATGTATACACACACATTGAATAATTCTAAAGGCAGTGTTTATTAAAACACGTTTCTTTATCAAAATTGAGCTACCAGCTGTTAAAGTGTGTATACATTTGGGGCGGGGGGGGGGGACACCTTGTAGTTTAAAGGCTTTAAAAGACTTTCAAGAATATTTTGAGCAGATGAGATTTTTGCCCCGCATGCTGTCATGAGAACCGAATCCCTCTAATAGATGCAATGCCAACATAATAGCCTTATAAACCAGATGGCCTTGGCAGTGCCACACCCTTGGTATGAGTAAATCCCTTTGAGAGACAGGCAGGGAAGAACATTTCTGGGTAGAGTGGGTAGAAGGTAACCGAGGCAGGGTTTAGATTCTGTGAAGTGACTGGGAGGCCAGACCAAGGCGTGGGAAGGGCATTTGCTTGTCAAACAAGAGAAGGTAGAAGCGGCCCAGAGAAACCAAGCTGCCCAGCTGGGCTACTGCAAAGCGTCACAGTGATTTTCTTCTTCAGAGGCCACTCTTTAGCTCCTTCACCTACACCAGAGCCTCTTAAATTTTATCAGTAGCGCCTCAGCTCAGGCAGCTGCTAGATCTAGCTCCTCCAGGTTACATCATGAAGAAAATGTGTAACCCTTCCCCCCATTTCCATAGAGAAAATCTTGGGAAACACTACCATCTCCTCTCTCCATGCCCTTGCCCCCACTCTCTCCTTCTCACAGGAGGACAACTGCCACCTCAGACAGTTCAGCAGGAGAGCTAGTGGTCAAAGATGAGTCACTACATTTCGGGGCCATCTCCCAAGTACCTCCTGCACTTGAGTGTGATGGAGGCATCTTCCCAAACCTTCGAGAAGGATGAGAGACCAGAAGTCAGTACACTGAGGTGAGCACTGTTGGCCCTGGTCCCTTGGAACCAGAGCTCCAGTCTCAGTGTCTATCACCATGCCTCACTGGCTACTCGCCCCAGGCTCTAGAACAGCCGTGGGCAAACTACGGCCCGCGGGCCGGATCCGGCCCGTTTGAAATGAATAAAACTAAAAAAAAAAAGACCGTACCCTTTTATGTAATGATGTTTACTTTGAATTTATATTAGTCCACACAAACACTCCATCCATGCTTTTGTTCCGGCCCTCCGGTCCAGTTTAAGAACCCATTGTGGCCCTCGAGTAAAAAAGTTTGCCCACCCCTGCTCTAGAAGGTGATCTGCCACCCATTTCCTGCCACAGCATTTCACTGATTTGGGGCACCTCTGCACCCTGCAAGCAAACACCTTTGACCTCAGTCTCACCACCAACAAAGACCACAGGTGAGGGGCAGGGAGGTGCCCGGTTAAACTACACCCAGCACCGGGCCTTGCTCCTCTATCTCAGCCGAGAGGTCTGCATGTGGCCTTCTGCATGGGCGGGGGATCTGGACACTGATCTTGGCCTGCCTATTTTAACTCTGCATTTGATTTCACTCCTTGGGTTGGACTTGACATCTTGAAGTCTCATCTCACCTTCATCTTCTGACTCAACTATTCACCTCTGCCTTTCCATTTTGACAAGTTCTTCAATATGACCCTCCTCAGAATCTACCAGATGTAAAAGGTTTAATTCAGCTTCATCCCTGACCTGTTCTGCCCTCTCCATCCCATCACTTACTGACCACAGTTAATTCTTACTATAATATATGTACTTGATTCTGTGTACCTTAACCCAGAGTACCTGCCATAAATTCGAAGCCCTTAGCTATTTTTTAACAGCTTCGAAGAATGCCCATTACCTTCTTAACATTCCTTTTCCTTCTGAAAGCTGCCTCATCCCCGGCTTCTTGTCTGATTCCTTTTCACAGAGAAAATCTTCCACTCAACCCAGCTACTACAACCTCCCTGAGTTTCCAAAAAGCTACAGCGCTAGAGTACACTATGCTTGAAGGCACAGCATGTCCCCTCCCATTGCCACGAATGGAGTCCTGCCGAACTGCCTTTACTAATGGTGCTTCCGGGCATTCCAACTTAGTCACTCCTCTGCTGAACCTTGATTTCGATGGAATTAGCTTATATGTTCTCCCTTTTGCATTTCACTATCTTGGAGCCTGGTTTATCATCTGAGTTTTAGATAGAGCAAAGTCTCTTCTTTTTGAACAATTTAGAAGCTCAATACTTTGCTATTTTATTGTGTGTAATTCACAAAATGTTCAGTCTTTTTGGGAAAGGTCACAAAGCACTCAATTGCACTTCACAGTAACTCCACAGGTGCTATTCCTGTTATCATTCCAGTAACAACCCACATCCATAAGCCAGGAAATACCAGTGTTTTCCAGGAGGTACTTGAGGGAGCACTCAATGGCAAGAAAGAATCCATCCAGCAACATATCATCAATGTAGTCAACGTAAGTCTTCCAGATATCGGAGGTGGGGTCTGCTGAGAAAAGATCCAAGTTTTCCTAAAAAATACAGAAATGATGTAAACCATGTTTAATAATATGGAAGTTCTGATAATCACTAAGGGAAATGGAGATAAGTAACACATGGAGAAAAAAACATTCTTGTGAAGAACTGCTATTATACGCATATCAAATTCATTCTATCTGATGGGAACAGCCATTGACTGCCTGAAAGGAGCATAAGGGAGTGTGTCTCATCCTGCCTCGGAGGAGGACTGCATCAGGCACCTCCTCAGCAGGCACGCTGATGGTTGCCATGTGTGCTTCATTGATGTACTTACTGTGGAGAAGCTGTATCAAAGCAGAAGGTAGGGCATGTCAAGGAAGTACTCAGGGTAGGAGGTATTATGATTCAAGGCTTATGACAAATTTCGAGTCCAGACAATAAAGCGTTTCCTAGATAATCCTTGGAAATGAGCTGCAGTGTTTGCTGTTGGTATTTAATATTAACAAAAAATCTTCGGTATATTGAGTGATTTAGAAAATATTCCCACATAAATGAATACACATTTGTTCTCTCTCTCTCTCTCTCTCTCTCTCTCTCTCTCTCTCTCTCTCTCTCTCCTGCAGGTATGGCATGTACTCTTCATCATTTTCATCATTAAGCCTTTTTATAACAACTTTCCCTTTCTCTAATATCTTCAATGAAAGTTGTAACTACTTTGCAGAAGTAAATTTTCTAGCTGACCCACACCACTTCACAAACATTCACATGTAGTAAATTTTCCTGAATTAAAAAAAAAATCTCATGATCCTGTCTTTGACTAATAAAATTCTAAAATTTCTAAAATGACTCACCTACATGTTTATTTCCCAAGCACATTTAAGATTTTCTTAATGACAAAGCTCATCATCACATAAATCATAACATGGTGACAATATAGTATTGCTCTCAGGTATTATTAAGACGGGTATGTTTGCTTCTATATTTTAAAACTTTCCGTTTTTATGACTGCTTTGTATAGTTGTTCTATCTCCTTCCTGATATCATGCTATCAATATAGCTCTCTGTACTTTTAACCTCTCTACCGCAAAGCTACTTGGGTCTAAGGAGCAAATATGTTGGAATTATCTGTGAACTAAAAAGAAATAGCTCACATTTCTGATCCCAGCCAAGACAGAGGAATGAGGTCAGCCCTGCCCTTCTGCTACAAACAGCTTTCTCACTGGACATACAAAAAAACAATTGTTTTGGACAACTGGCTAATGAACAGTACAGGGATGTGATCCTTGAGAAAAGGGAAGTGCTCAAGGTGAGCTTTAAAACAACTGGCTTTCTACCTACAGGCACTTTCCAAACTGTGACATGGGAAAGTGATCTCAATTACAGCATCATTCCTGCTGGTAGAACAGACAGAGACTAGGGTGTGGGGCTGCTGACATTGCTGAGTCCTCTTGAGTCTTTGAATATGAAGCTACATATTTAGGGCAAGACTCTGCAAGGCCTGGCAGAGAACAGTTACTGGGGATTCTACGCTAAATGGAGATCGTGTAGGTCAGACAGTGCTAGAAGATGTTCATATACTATCAGAAATGATGAAAAGACCTTGCATGTAACCAGGAATTCACTGGAGACCCCAGAACTGGGATGCTTTATGATTTGAGCTGCTCAGTTCTAGAGAAAGGCTTCTTTAGAGTCTCCCTAACAAAGCTTAAAATTGAGTTTCCACAGGATCAAGCTGACCCACCAATAAGTTAACTGCCTGCCAAAAGAAAAGCTCAAACCCTTTAAGGAAAATAACACTCAGATTCGAAAGTGGCACCCAACATGACTAGAACATAATAACAAATTGTTAGACATGCAAACAAGCAGGAAAGTGTGACATTTAACCAAGAGTGAAATTCACTAAGAGAAAAGTCAGAGAATAGCTTCCATACCAATTCTTATTTTATGTGAAAGAAAAATAAACATCTGTTGCATTAAAGAAAAAGACAGAAAATGAAAATAAAATAGAGGTTTGAATTAGCAGACAATGTCATCATTTGATTAAAAACTTCCCAAATTTGGTAAAAAACAGTTCAGAAAGCTCACAACCTCTAAGCAAGATGAATATAGGCACGTCATATTCAAATGGGAAAAATACAAACACTTAAAAAGGCACTATTAAAAATATCTGAGAGAAACAATACATTACATACAGAGGAACAAAGCTACAACTTATGGTTGGCTTCGGATCAGAAACATTAAGGATAGAATATGACAAAATGACTTCTGAAGGAAAAATAAAACTCTCTCAATTCTATATCCAATGAAACTGTCTTTCAAAAACAAAAGTGAAATAAGAACATTTTCAGATAAACAAGAACTGAGAGAATGTGCCATTAGCAGACCTGAACTGCAAGATGGTAACTCAATTCTACAAAAAAAACCACACAAGTCTTCTGGCCAAGATGGCAGCGTAGGTAAACATGGTGCTCACCTCCTCCCAAATCCACATCAAGATCACAACTAAACTACAGAACAACCATAATTCAGAACTGCCTGAAATGGAGCTGAATTGAAGTCCTACAATTATAAAATTAAAGAAGAAGCCATAAAAAGACAGGTAGGAGGAGCAGAGGAGTGAAGGAGCTGGCCCCATACCCAAGTGTGGTGGATAAAAATCAGGAGGGATATCTTGGCTGTGGAGGTCTCCACTGAGGAGTGAGGGGTCCCAGCACCACACCATGAACCCCAGCCGGGGGTTCCAGTCCCAGGAAGAGAAGTCCCCATAACTTCTGGCTGTAAAAACCAGCAGGAGTAGAGGTTGGGAAGGCTGAGGCTGCTGGAGTCCCAGGCAGTTCCTCTTAAAGGGCCTCCACACAGACTTACATAAACTCACTCCATCTGAGTCCAGCATGGGGACAGAAGATTGAAAGATACCAGGAGAAACTGAATTGTTTGGTATCAGGGCAAGATCTGGAGGGGCAGCTTTCTCCTAGACAGAAGTGCTGGCAAAGGCCATTGTTCTTTTTCTGAGCTCTTCCCCCACAGAGCTGGCAGACAGGCTCCATCTCTGAGACTCCATCAACGTGGCACACACTGTTTGCCCCACCCTGGTGATTCCCACCCAACATTCAGGCCCACCCAAGCTGTTTCCAGTGGCTTTACCATATGAATGGCATGTCTTGGCTCATGCTTCAGATTTTCCTAAAATCTCTCAAAGGAGCAGCATTTGGCCTCAGTGAGCCCTTTACCTCTAGCTAAGTGGCCCAGGCCCAGCAGTAACAGCACCCAGCCTTGGTTCACAGGTTGGCCTCATCTGGGCACCTCTAAGCCCAGCACAAGAAGCAGCCACCTGCAGATCACTTTGTAGTTTATGTCTGGTGGCCCTGGACAGAAGACAGGTGGTGGCTGACCTTGGCCTACAACTCCCAGGAGGCCCCGGAGCCAGCACACCCAGTGGACAGCTTCAGACCATGTTGAAGCAGTACAACCCAATGACCTCCATAAGCAACACACTCAAGGGCAGACTCAGTGGGCACCAGATCCCTGCTGAAGTAAGTCCTGCTCTGTGCAGTAGATCCCTACACAACTGATCCTCTAAGGTGGTTGGAGGTTGGTGGCCAGTGGTCACAGTCAGTCCTTGTACCTGGGGGTAATTCCCTCCCATTGACATGCCAACAGCAATCAAGTCTCAACTATAACAGGAGGGCATACAATCCACATGGGGGTGCACCTTGAGTGCCTAGCTGGAATAATCAGGGAGGCTGTGCCACTAGACCCTATAGGACACTTACTACATTAGGCCACACTACCATGCCTGGCAGATGTAGCAGCTCTACCTAATACATAGACATAAGCACAGTGAGGCAGCCAAAATGTGGAGACAAAGAAACATGTCCCAAATGAAACATGTCCCTAATGAATCAACAGAACAAAACTCCAAAAAAAGAACTGAACAAAATGGAGATAAGTAATCTACTTGATGCAGAATTCAAAACACTGGTTACAAGGATGCTCAAGGAACTTAGTGAGGACCTCAAAAGCATAAAAAAATAACCAGTTAGAAATGAAGGCTAAACTAAATGAAATAAAGAATAATTTACAGGGAATCAACAGTAGATTAGATGAAGCTGAGAATCAATTTAGTGATTTGGAATATAAGAAAGCAAAAAACACCCAATCAGAACAGCAAAAAGAAAAAGAATTTAAAAAAATGAGGATAGTGTAAGAAGCCTCTGGGACAACTTCAAGGGTACCAGCATTTGCATCATGGGGGTGCTGGAAACAGAAGAGAGAGCAAGAAATTGAAAAGCTATTTGAAAAAATAATGACAGAAAACTTACCTAACTTGGTGAAGGAAACAGACATACAAGTCCAGGAAGCAGAGACTTCCAAACAACATGAACCCAAAGAAGCTCACACCAAGACACAGCATAATTAAAATGGCAAAGGTTAAAGACAAAGAGAGAATCTTAAAAGCAGCAAGAGAAAAACAGTTAGTTACCTACAAGGGAGTGCCCATAAGACTGTCAGCTGCTTTCTCAACAGAAACTTTGCAGGCCAAAAGGGAGTAGTAATAAATATTCAAAGTGATGAAAAGCAAAGACCTACAAACAAGATTACTGTGACCAGCAAAGCTATCATTTAGAATTTATGGTCAGATAAAGAGCTTCCTGGACAACAAAAAGTTAAAGGAGTTCATCACCACCAAACTAGTATTATGTGAAATGTTAAAGGGCATTCTTTAAGAATATGAACAATAAAATGGCAATAAATACATTCCTATCAACAATTGCATCTACAAACAAAATGAACAAGAACAGAAATAGACTCATAGATACAGGGAATATTTTGATGGTTGCTAGGTGAGAGGGGGTTGGAGGAATGAGTGAGAAAGGTGAAGGGATTAAGAAGTACAAATTGATTGTTATAGAATAGTCATGGGATGTAAAGTACAGCATAGGGAATATAGTCAACAATATTGTAATAACTAGGTGTGGTGCTGGATGGGTGTGGGATTTTGGAGGATGATCTCATATTAAGTTATATAATGTCTGGCCACTGGGTGTACAAAAAATATATAATAAAAAAAGGAAAAACAAGTGTAGAAATAGTGAGTTTGGGGGCAAATATAAAAACCAGAAACATTTTTTCTTGAGTTTTTAAAGCAAAATATTATTATAATACTCTATTGTGGGGTTTATTTTACACACACATACACACACACACACACACATCTCAACAGTGATGATTAAAAGAATGGAGGCAGGGGTGTGTTAAACCATAATGTTGCTATGTTGCTAGATTCCTATATTTCTTTTTTTTTAAATATATTTTATTGATTTTTTTTTTTACAGAGAGGAAGGTGAGAGGTATAGAGGGTTAGAAACATCGATCAGCTGCATCCTGCACACGTCCCCCCACTGGGGATGTGCCCGCAACCAAGGTACATGCCCTTGACTGGAATCGAACCCGGGACCCTTCAGTCCGCAGGTCGACTCTCTATCCACTGAGCCAAACCGGTTCAGGCTAGATTCCTATATTTCATGGGAAAACTCTAAGCTCTAAGTCAGTGGTTCTCAACCTTGGCTGCACATTAGAATCACCTGGGAATCTTTTTAAAATCCTGATTTCTGGGCCTCACCTGATTCCCAGGTGATTCTAATGTGCAGCCAAGGTTGAGAACCACTGCTCTACGTTAATTGTGATTAGTTCAAGAGACATATTGAAACCTAGAACAACCACCACAAATGTAATACAACAAGATAAATCTGAAATTGCAATTGAGAAATTAAAATAGAATACTAAAAAATATACAATTAATAACAACAATTAATGTGGGTGAGAAATAGCAGAGAAACAAAAAAAAGAGATGAAGCAAATAGGAACCAAATAGCAAAATGGAAGAGCTAAATCCATACATACCAAAAACTACATTAAATGTAATAGTTTAAATACTCCAATTAGTAGGCCAAGTTCTTAGACTTAGAAAAGCAAGTTTCTACCATATCCTATATAATAAAAGCCTAATATGCTAAGTGTCTGGTCCTCCAATCATCCATTCAACCAATCAAAGTGTAATATGCTAATGATATGCTAAGGTTGCTCAACTGCTCCCTATTGCACTGACCACCAGAGGCAGACAGTCTATCGGTCGATCAGTCGCTATGATGTGCACTGACCACCAGGGGGCAGACGCTCCAACTGGTAGGTTAGCTTGCTGCTGGGGTCTGGCCTATCGGGACTGAGTAAGATGGGCCGGACATGCCCTGGAGCCCTCCCATGGTTCCTCCCCAGCTGGCCAACCTCCTGCGTCCCTCCCTGGCCCCAATCATGCACTGGTGGGGTCTCTCGGCCTGGCCTGCACTCTCTTACAATTTGGGACCCCTCAGGGGATGTTGGAGAGCCAGTTTCGGCCCGATCCTGCAGGCCAGGCCAAGGGCCTCTAGTGCTGTCTATAAGAGAAGAAACTGGAATCTAAAGAAGCACATAGGTTGAATGTAAGAAAGTAGAGAAAGATGGACAATGCAAAAAGTAGAAGTCATGAATCTGCAAGGAAAAGCCATAGTATTACCAGAAAGAAAATCCAAACAAAAAAACCCCATCAAGGCAAAGGAGTATTATCTATAACTAGAAGCCCAATGCACGAAATTGCACGGCCCCGCTCATCCACGTGCACCTTGCCTTGCATGCAGCCCTGCCCACCCGCGCACACCTTGCCACGCACACAGCCTCCTGGCCGATCAGGCAGGGAGGCAGGTGAGCGGTTAGGAGCCAGCAGTCCCAGATTGTGATTGGGCCTAAACCAGCAGTCGGACATCCCCCAAGGGGTCCCTGATTGGAGAGGGTGCAGGCTGGGCTGAGGGAACCCCCTACTCCATGCACAAATTTTGTACACCGGGCCACTAGTATAGATAATAAAAGTGTAATATGCTAATTAAACTGAACGACCTTCTGGACGAAGCTGGGATGCAAGGGAAGCCTGGGTCCCAGGTGCCAGAGGGAAGCCAGTGCCAGCAGCTGGGGGAAGGAAGGCCTACTCTTGCACAAATTTTGTGCATCGGGCCTCTAATTAGAAATAAAAATGGAATTTTATAATGATAATACAGTGATCAATTCACCAGGAAGTTATAATAATTATAAATGTGTTTGTAACTACTAACAGAGCTTCAAACACTTAATGAAAAATCTGACAGAACTAAAAGGTTAAATAGACAAATCCAAAATTGCAGGTGGAGATTTAACACTCTATCTTTAGTAATTGGTAGCACAAATAGACAAAAAATCAGAAAGCATATAAAAGATAAGAACAATACTACCAACCACTTTGAACTAATTGATATCTATGGAACACTATTTGCAACAATGGGAGAATAAACATACTGTCAAGTGCACAAGGGACATTTAATAAGATAAACAATATTCTAGGTTATGGAACAAGTCTCAGTGAATTCCAACTGACTGAAATCTTCTAGAGTATTCTCTCTGGGCCACAAAGGAATTAGATTAGGTATCAATTTCATTAAGATATCCAGAGCAGGACCAAATATGTGGAAATTAAACAACATACTTCTAAATGACCACCCAATTAAAGAAATCACAAGAGAAAAAAATTTAAAACTGAATGATAATGAAAGTGAGGCAGATCAAATTTGTGGAATGCAAATAAAGCACTGCTCAGAGGGAAATTTATGTCATCAAATGCTGGTATTAGAAAGAAAGCCTCAAAATGATACCCTAAGTTTTTACCCTGAGAGGCTAGAAAAAAAGATTAGCAAATTTACCCCAAATTAACTAGAAAGCAATAATAAAGAACAGAAATGAACGCACTAGAAAACAAAGTCAAGAAAATTAAAGTCAACAGTGCATTTCATTGTACTTCACACCATGGACAACCCCCAACCAGCAGCTGTAATCCATCACTGACCGTGTGCATGAGGTCAGCCTCCTGGACTGCCCCATGCCACTGCAGTAGGTGACAGCTGGCAACCCCTAACAGCTCTTTCCACTCTTCAGTCTTTGAGGACGGGCCATGAGGCTGCCCTATCTATCCCAATGCAGGCAGAGCCTTCCTGCTTTAGGTGCGCACTGCATTTTTCCTTCTTTCATCAAATGCAGTGAGAGTTACCATCTCCTCAGGCTCCATAGAGCTGGGTTACGAGAATGATGCTGGAGTTCCACACTAGGTTGTGCAGGTGAGTTGGGGACAGTTGGTGCCCTGGGTAGTTTAGGATTCTGTCCTTAACTTTTCCTTCTCTCCTTGGGGTTTGGTGTGGCATTTAAAGTCCTGTGATGACTAAGTGGGGCCACCATGAAGATGGCACTAACTTTTTTTTTTAAAATATATTTTATTGATTTTTTACAGAGAGGAAGGGAGAGGGATAGAGAGTTAGAAACATCGATGAGAGAGAAACATCGATTCAGCTGCCTCCTGCACACTCCCTACTGGGGATGTGCCTGCAACCAAGATACATGCCCTTGACCGGAATCGAACCTGGGACCCTTCAGTCCCCAGGCCGATGGCACTAACTTTGACACTGATGCTGTAATGTGACTTTTCACTCCCCCTACCTATTAGCTTTAGTTCTTTTGTTCTCAGTATAAATGTCTATCCCTGACTGCGGAAGACACACACCTATTGTTCTAATTTCCAAATCCCTTCTGGCACCAAACACACCTCGTGATACATCCCCGGGACTCGTGGTTGTATGTCTGAGGGGCTGGTGATTACCTGAACCAGAGCGTGAATCTTCAGGCCAGACTCTCTGATGCAGCTGTAATATTTTTCCATCCGATCATGCTGCTCCTCCACAGAAAGCAGGCTCTCCCTTTTCCCATCCTTTCTCTTAAATATTGGAGACGCCCATGTTTTCATGATGCTCTGAATCTCTTCCACGTTGTCTTTGGTTTTCTGAATTCTTTTCTCAAGGTCACGAATGCTACTGGTGATTTGAATGACATAATCCCAAATGCCTGTTCCCCAGAAGAAATAGAATTAACTGAAATAGCTGACAGTGGCATAGCTAAAGGTCTAGCTGCTGTGAAAGACAAGGATCCAATACTCATGGGTTTTAAAAGACTTTTCTGCACAGGTTACGTCTTCGCAAGCAGCCTTTTTCTTCCTAGTTGTATTAAAGAGCCAACTCTTACCAAAACCCTGATTATGGAGGGAGAGAAACAAAAGCTGGTGCATTTTGCTGGGGCACACCAGTGCAACTTGGCGACTTTACATAGGTTAATGAATCTTATTTTTAAGCACTTTCCCTGTATTAAATGTTGAAAATGTCATTCCCTCTTGTATATGGAATAAAGCTCTGACTTGTGTAATATGATCTTCCAAGACCTCCAGGAGTTGACTTGACCTTCTTTTCAAACTTTCACTCTTTTGAGGACCCTAATGCAAATCCATCTTCCTTCTCTGTGGTTTGCCATACTTTATATTTAACTCTCTGATAGCTTCTTATCATAGCTTGTCTTGTTTAATTTATGTTGTACATATGTCTGATATCCTCACTAAACGTGAGCTTTTTGGGTAGGGCCATTCCCACATACCTCATATATTACATTATCTCCACAGGCCACCCCCTCACCCCCAGAGTACCCCACATATGTTAATCCATTGATAAAAGTTTATTGCATTGAACTGGAGGGTACAAGAGAAGTCAATGCATAATTCCCTTATAAGATACTTACAGCCCAGTTAAGAAAATTAAGTATCAATGTTAATACAGGAAGAACCTTCATTCATGAAGTGCCCCGTATGTGCGGGAGACTGTGGGAGGTCTCATTCATTCTCTGAGCCTGCCCCTGTGTGTGGCAGCACATTTTTCTAAATATACTAGTCCCATCCAAAAAGAAGAAAGAATACCAACCCTCCTTGCCTTCGCTACCGTGAACATGCGTCTGAGAAGACAGACTTGTGTTCAAACGCAACCCACATTACCAGGTAATTGTTTGAGTGTCCACAACGTTTACTGGGATCTGGATTCTCCCCCTTCGCCCCAGACTCCGGGTGGTGCGTTACCTTCGCTTTTCCAGTTCAGAGCCTCCTCCGCAGCTCGCAGGTGGAGATCGATGTTCCGCAGCTCTTCCGCCACTAATGGGAATTCCACCTCCAGCAGTGTTTTCATAACCTTGTTGTACCAATTTGCCATCAGCTCCAGGTTAGCCACAAGCTGCCGATAGAACTCCCTGGAGGAGAACATGGCTGCTGCGGTCTCCGGGATGTGCTTCAGCTGCCGGGGCTGAAGGTAGCTCATCTCTTTGAGCACAGACACCAGCTGGGGGAGAGAATCCACATAGACGGCTGTGGTTCAGTGGCAGCGAAGAGCAGCAATATGCGGCAGAGACGGGAAAACCCCAGGGGACCAGAGGTCTTCGGGTCCCTCTCAACCCCTGCTCCTGCCCGCTCCCTAAATGTGGGTTCAGAGAAGGGAAGTGAGGACTGGTCAGAAGGAAGAGGACTCAGAAAGCAGCAGGTTAACCGAATCTGTGAATCACCGAGAGCGAGAGGAAAACCCGAGAGAGGAGACCTCAGTGACAGCAGGAGAGGCCCGCCGTGATGCGTGAGGGCCGGTGGCTGATGACATGATAGGCTCATGCTGACTGAGCCAGGTCCCATGGCTGTGCTGGTATGGAGGAGACTGATCACCCGGTCTGGGCCACCCCGAGCATGAGAAGCCTCGCGTTTAGACTTCTGGTATTCTCTCCAAATGAGGTCAGATACATGGTCATAGACCCTGACGGGGCTGAGAGGAGGTGCCCACTGTATAACTTCAGTGGTTACATACAGTCATTTGAAATAGCCCAATGGGCTGGCTTGTCTTTGTGTCTTCATATACGAGGAGGTCAGGGGATGGGAGTCACCAGCCTCTGACCTTCTATGGGGCACTGAGCTTAGTAGCAACTGCAGGAGTGGGAAGCCAAGCAGATGTGGGTCAATGAAAAAACAGAGGCCGCTGGCAGCGTTTCGAAGAGCACTGCTCACCATTCCTTATTTATCACCTTTATCTCTGAACTTACAAGGACTAATGTGCATAGAATGTATGACAAAACATATCAGGCCATAGATTCCCCCTCCACTCCCCACCCCCAGCTCACATAAAGACACCTGAGCCCCCACCTCTCCTTCAGCGGCTCTGGGCCATCCCTTTGTTGTCACCCAGCCAACCCTGCTTAGGGTTAAGACGAATGCTAACAAGTAGGCAGGGAAATGACTTCAGTCTCCTGGTTTATTTTGCTCAAGGTAGATATTAAAAATTTAAATGTAAGAAATGAAAACATGCCTGGCTGGTGTGGCTCAGTGGTTGGGCATCAACCCATGAACTAGGAGGTCACCAGTTTGATTCCCAGTCAGGGTGCACTACCGGGTTGTGGGCTCGATCCCCAGTAGGGGATGTGCAGGAGTCAGTGGATCAATGATTCTCTCTCATCTTTGATGTTTCTTTCTCTCCCTCTCCTCCTCTCTCTCTAAAATCAATTAAAAAAATTTTTAATAAAAATTAAAAGAAAATGTGGGCCCTGGCCAGTTTGGCTCAGTGGAGAGAGTGTCGGCCTGTGAAGCAAAGGGTCCCGGGTTCAATTCTGTTCAAGGGAACGTACTTCAGTTGCAGGCTCCTCCTGGCCTGGGCCCTGGTCAGGGCGTGTGCAGGAGGCAACCAATCGATGTGTTTCTCTCACATCAATGTTTCTCTCTGTCTTTTCCCTCTCTCTCCCACTCTCTGTAAAAATCAATGGAAAAATATCCTCGGGTAAGGATTAAATAATAATAATAATAAAATAAAATAATAAAAAAATTTTAAAACAAAAAAGAAATGTGGGGATATATATATATGGAGAGAGAGAGAGAGAGAGAGAGAGAGAGAGAGAGAGAGAGGGAGAGAGAGAGAGGAGGCCATTCCAAACACACCATCATAAAAGATAAAATTTATATGCATAAACTATCAGATACATAATAAAATGTCATACTTCACCTGGTAAAAATATTTGCAGCAGATTTTTAAAATATCTGAAAAACATTTCCAAAATATTCTAACAAATTCACAGATAAAGAGGGCACTTCCACTCAAAAGTGGGCAAAGGACACGAGCAAGCAATTTATAGAAGGAACGTAGACAGCCAATGAACAGGTGAACAAAGTTAAAGCAATGTGGAGATTTTGTATTTTTTCTAGTTCATTAAGCTGAAAGAAATGGATATCTTGCTGGCAGGAGAATGACTGAAGAACAAATTGACAATATACATGAAAAGTCTTATAATGTAAGCACCTTTTAGCCCAGAAATTTTATTTCTAGACATTTATTCCAAAGAAATAATCCTGGATAGATGCAATAATAACTGCAGATACTTATTGTAGCATTATTCATACCATATTTTATCCCATTGTAAGATGTCAATGATGGTAGTATTCACTATTGCTATATTTACAACTAAGAAGGAAAGAAAAAAGGTAGTTTTTTACACTACAAATGCATGCCATTTTCAAAGATATAAAGTAAAAAAAAAGTGCACCCTAAAATCTATGAAATACATATTGACACAACTAGAAAATAATTGAAATGTCCAAGAATCGGGCATTTAAATAATTTAAATAAATTTTCTACATACATACATATAATTTTCCCCATAAAATCCTTAGCCTGGCCCCAATGGGGCAAACCTCTGCTCATGTCCTTCTGGACTGATATACATGTGACTGTTCATTCCTAACAGCTCAGCTGTTGCCACGCAGCTGGAAAGTGGGAATCGGGGATGTTAGCTCTTCTCTGACTTGTGTTTGTAGTTGTTTCCCCTTGACTCACATTATAATTTAGGGATTTATCTCCTCTCCCCTTTTCTTCTCTCCTTTCTTCCCCTTTCTTTCCCTTCTATCACCTACAACATCAAAAAGCACCTACTGTGTGTTGCACACTGGGGCAGATAAGAATCCTTGCTCTTGGAATCTAGAGAGGAGGGGTGATCCAGCCTCAATACTGTCTTATACTGAGGACATAATTACCACAATCTCTAGACTCTGGCCTCATTGGTAATCCAGAAACTCATCTCTTTGGGAATTTAATATCCAATATTGCTGACAGACAATGCTGATAAAATTACTCAAATGACAGACTTACCAAAGTGGAAAAAAAAATGGATCCTCCAACTTCCTTTATTGACTTTTAGCTCAGTCAGAATTGATAGTCTACTTAACCTTCAGCGTTCTTAAAAGACAGCAATATGCTCAGTTTTGGCTCTCTCTACACCGCATTCCTGGAGAACGTGCCATCCAGACAGAAGTGGTGACTGCTTTCGCTCAGTGTGGCCGTATTTTTTGTTTTCTTTTTTAGCTGAACGATGCACCTCCTGACCTGGGCTAACGTGTGGTCATGTCTTCTCCAGCATTACGCTCTCCAGGGCTGCCACAGTCCACACTGGTCTGCACCCTCGGACCGTCTGCGGCAGGGCTTCCCAACCTTGGCACTATTATTCTGGGCAAACTCTCTTGGTGGTGGGTACCATCTGGGCATTGTAGAGAGCTCAGCAGCATCTCTGGTATCTACCCACTCGGTGCTATTGGCGCCCAGTCCATGTTTGACAACAAAAATGTCCCCAGGGGGAAAATGGCCTCCGTGGAGTCACTAATCCAGAGTCTTATTTCCAGAGCGACTCCTTTGAGATTTATTACACACTACCCCATAGGACAGATTTTTGCATGTTGGCGTTCCAGCTCCCAACTAGCGTGTGGGTTCCTTGAGAGCAGGAACCAGGACTCACGCTTGTTTGGCCTCCCAGTGTTCAGTCAACAGCCTTCACGTGTGGCAGGCATTCACGCAGGCCTGGTCAGCTGCCTGGCACTAAATGGTCAGTAATGCTATTATCCTATCTGCCCAAAGATGGGTAGCAATCTCTGTTTAAGTGCCTTCTGAAATTTCAGATAGTGCATATCTATAATATAATTAAACTTTTTGATTAGTTAATCTTAAGTGTAATTGTCATTCTAACTTTAAATGTAAATCAAGTATATAATAATGCTATCACATGAAAAGTTAAAAAAAATATATTTTGTGATATGTCCTGCTGTGCAAAATCAAAGCAAATATATTGGCTCACCCTGGAGGAAAATGTGAGCCCTGGACAACTTAAGAAAACATTACACCACAGGATTTATCCCCAAAAGAAACCCAGGATGCAGATTCTTTGGAGCAGCTTTTTCATATTCATATGAAAACCCTTTTTGCCTTTGAAATCAGCCAAATTAAGCAAAACTCTTCAGAAACCCAACGAGAAATTCCTGTGGCCGGCTTACCTGTGGGTTAAAGTTGACGGTAATCTGCTTAGTCGCTGGGTCTCGTGTCAGAAGTGGCCGGGAGAGGTTGTACTGTGACTGCTTCGACACCGTCTGGCACCAGTCCTCATAGAGTCTTGCCTGGTACCTGCGAGGATGGGGAACAGCAGGCACCTGAAAGCACCCTCCCAGCATCCCCATGCCTGGCAATGAGTAACTGAAGGTATAGATAACAAACATATAGTAACATACATAAAACATATATAGTGTTTACAGTCTATCAACCTATCTCATGAACTAAAGATGCTAGTAAAATACTTGAATATATCCCCCCCGCAATCCTCACCCAAGGATATGTTTTTACTGATTTTTGGAGAGAGAGGGAGAGAGAGAAAGAGAAACATGATTGGTTGCCTCCCACATGTGCATTGACCAGGAATCAAACCTGCAACCTTTTGGCGAACAGGACATGCTCCAGCCGTCTGAGCCACGGGGCCAGGGCTGCATATGTTCTTTAGTCAAAGTCATTGACTCAGCCAGGCATGGAAGCTCCTGCAAGTAACCCCTTACTTCTAAAGATGGCACAGCTCAAATCAGAGGAGAGTAGAGAGACGCTCCAGGGGGTCCTTCTGGGTCAGTGGTTCTCAACCTTGGCTGCACATTAGAATCACCTGGGAATCTTTTTAAAATCTTGATTTCTGGGCCCCATCCTCCGGAAATTGTTTCTTTGTTACTAATGTTGTGGCCCCACCCCATAACAAAGAAACAGAATTTCCGGAGGGTGAGGCCCAGAAATCAGGATTTAAAAAAGATTCCCAGGTGATTCTAATGTGCAGCCACGGTTGAGGACCACTGTTCTAGGCAGTAAGGGAAGTTGTGATTAGTCTCAGTAAATGTTGGAAGAAGCTATTGGGTAGGATTTTCTCTCATAGGAACCTTCACGTCACTTGCAGACATCTGTCATTCAGTCATTACACATTGGCGGAGCATCCACCATGTGCTGGGCTTGGGTAAACAGAGAATGCAGCGAGGCAATCCCGGAGAGATGTACAGGGCTCAGGCCTCTGACGACAGAGGTGGGGAGGGAGGTAAGGAGATGCTGGAAGGTTTCCGGGATCGGGGGCTGAAGTGATATTGACTGAATCTCAGAGAACAAGGAGAGGTTAGACCAGCGGTTCTCAACCTGTGGGTCGCGATCCCTTTGGCGCTCAAACAACCCTTTCACAGGGGTCGCCTAAGACCATCCTGCATATCAGATATTTACATTACGATTCATAACAGTAGCAACATACAGTTATGAAGTAACAACGAAAATAATTTTATGGTTGGGTCACAACATGAGGAACTGTATTTAAAGGGCCAGAAGGTTGAGAACCACTGGGTTAGACAGTGAAAGAGGGATGAGTGCTCCGGGCAAAGACAACAGCAAGGCCAAAGGGTGGAGGTGAGAAACAGCCTACTGTGTGCTGGGAGCACCTGAGACTAAGAGGGCAAAGGTGGAGGCGAGAGAGGAAAGCAAAGGCCAGGGAGGGTTTTCCTGTTGTGGTCATGAGATGATGGGAGGCGCCGAAAGGCTTTGCATATGGGGGTATGCGGTGACAATATCGGATTTGGTAACAGTGTGGGCAGTATGGGCACTAGACCCTGCACCCCCCAAAACTTACTGCAGCTTTAAAGCAGGAACAACTGGGAACCCATGCAAATTTCATTCTTATGCTTTCTCTATAAAAAGATACAGGAAACATTTTTAAAAATTTCTGCTTAGTAGGCAGCCACTGCGATTTTCCGTGACACTGCTCTCGGGGTGCCGTGAGGGGTGGCCCACTTCCGGCTCTGCGAGGTCTCGCTCCCACTACAGTGCACCGGAGCAGTGTCTGTCTCTAGGCTGGACTGCGTTCTCCAGGGCCCTGTGTGTGTAACCCAAGAGCACTGAGCTCACAGATAATGTGGGGAGCACGGGGCCCTGTGGGCCATGCAAGCTGCAGGGCAATGCAATCCCAGGCGCTGCTCACTTTTCCAGCAACGACAGCACATCTTCATACTTTTGTATCATCCGCTTTCCTTCGGCAGATTCCATGCAACTGCCCATAAGAAGAGAAGAAAGTGGCATCGAATTAGAAGTCAGAATAATGATCTGATTAACAAACTGCAGCGAATAAAGAAGAGATTGAGCAGCTTCCCGGGCTGGTTTCCAAATGCCCCAAAGGCGCCTGCCTCCTTCTTCCTGAACATTCCCCATCGGCCACTAGAGGGCGCCTGCACTTACTGCAATGCAGGCAGACCCACAGGTGAAGGTGGCAGAACCTCTCCCACGGGGCTGCACCAACCCTTCCCCCCAGCCCAGCCAGGCATGCACAGGTACATCAGGTCCTCAGACACCTGAATAAGAGGGAAATCGAGACATGAAAAAAATTCTAGGTGCCATAGTTTTCATATGTAAGAAAAAGCTATATATGACATTACACATAACAAAAACTATATAACAATGTTTACATATTTGCATAACAATGTTTATACACACACACATAGACATTGTTTTATGTGTATATATTTTTCTTCTCTGAAATCCATCTAGGACATGTTCTGCTGCCACTCATTGACACGTTTAGAGGAGGTTCCCACCCACTTCTCACGCCCCGATATGTGCACACACAATGCACACACGTGTACCACACGTGCCATATACGCCATATACACACTCGCCCACATGCACAGACATGCTCAAGGGCTCCCACAGAAATGATGACGACAGAGGAGCGTGACACCGCCACCCGCACCTGCTCCTGTCTGACACTTTGCAACAGAAAATGAGAGCCAGGCCCTGGGAAAATTGGCGAAATATCTATAATTTTCAGGAACCTTCACACTGTGCTGAAGGGTCTGTTTTTGTTTGTTCTGCTAGCAAAATAAGGCAGCTTATTGCAAAGATTCTTTAACACAGTTTGCTCTTTAAGCCAACACAGGTTTCTCACTGATGCCCTGGCTCTCAGTGTGAGCCCAGCCGCAGAGGAAGCCCTGGCTTCCAGGTGCTCAGTCCCTCCATGCGAGCACGCAGGTGCCTCCAAGAGGAGAAGGGGAAAGGGCCTCAGACCAGCGGCTCTTGCCCAGCGCTCCCCTCCCAAGCTGTGGGGCTTCCACAGGTCTCAGACCCCATCTCACTTCATGCCTGGGAAAGGAAGAGGCTGGAAGAGAGAAAGACAGCAATGCAGGGAAAGTAGAAGGAAGACTGAGGTGTGGATGGATTGACTCCATAAAAGAAGCCACAGGCTGAATCTGCAGGAGCTGAGCAGGGCAACTGAACACAGGACATTGCGGACCTCACTGTTGCTCACTCATGGGGTCTCCAGCCATCAGAGTCGGCAACTCAAGGGCCTGGGTACACGGAGGAGAGAGTCTGGGGCACATGGAGGAGAGAGTCTGGGGCACATGGAGGAGAGAGTCTGGGGCACGTGGAGGAGAGAGTCTGGGGCACGTGGAGGAGAGAGTCTGGGGCACATGGAGGAGAGAGACTGGGGCACGTGGAG